GGCACAATGTGCAAACAATGCAAACTGACCTTTTCAATTGAAAAGGTCAAAGCTGTTCCGTGGTGAGTCAGCCCCACTATGGTGGCAGCACGGAGGTGGCGGAGGTCAAAACAAGTGTTGCCGTTGTCACCCTCTGCTGGAGACGAAAGGAACTGCACTATTGCTCATTAGGAATGAGTGTATAATTGTTTATTGATTGATTGGATACATTTATATATTGCAAAGTTCCGTCTCCTTATGCAGCAGGAATGTATTATTGTTTATTTATTGATTGAATAGATTGTATACATTGCAAAACCTCTTTATATAGTACACATTTATTATTGTTTATTGATTGATTGGATACATTTTATATATTGCAAAGTTCAGTTTCATTATACAGTAGGAATTTATTTCTGTTTATTTATTGGAAAAATGTTATACATTGCAAAATGTTGTTTCCTTTTATGGTACAAATGTATTATTGTTTTTTGTATTTTATACATTTTATATATTGCAAATTTGTGTTCATTTTATTTTATGAATGTATTATTTTTTTAATTGATTGGATACATTTTATACATTGCAGAGTTTTGTTTCCTTATAGAGTAGAGGTTTATTATTGTTTATGTTGCACATGGAGAAAGCAGACATGATGAGTTTTTCATAATTAATTACAGTCATATTACTGATAACGGGACAATAATTACTTAAAGGAGAACTATGCGGTCAGTGTTTATCTCCCGTCACCCTAAGCTCAGTATATAGGGAGCTACAGCTCACTATATACTGAGACGTCGCAGCCGGAGCGGATCCCGACATCGATGTCGAGATCCGCCCAGCTGCGTGAGTGACAGCCGGCTCTGCCTATCTAGAGGCAGAGCCAGCTGTACCCGCCCCCTCCCCCGTCCGTTCCGCCAGTCAGCGCTGGTGGATCGGAGCGGGGAGGGGGGAATCCAGCCCCTCCCCTATCATGGCAGACAGCCGTGACAGGATCGAGAAGTGAGCGAACGCCGGTATGTGTTCGCTCACCTCCCGATCTACTGAGCCGACCTGTGACAGTCTCATTGTAACAGGTCGGCTAGAACTATGAGGTGAGTGAAAAGCACCCGCCTGATAATTCTCCTTTAATTCATGAAATCATTTATTTTTAATTTTGTATGTTTTCTTTCGATGAGCCTGGAATGAATTTGGGGGATGTAAAAATAAAATGTGGTTTCTGTGACGCAATATACAGAACGGTCACAATGCAGCAATTGCTTTCTACGATTGTTCTGTTTTATGTGTGCCATGTTTTATATACAGGATCGCCGACCGAGAACAAGGCAGGTGAACGCAATATTCATTTTATGATCTTAAAGCCATATCATCCCTGAAAACGTGATTGACGGTTGTGCGTCACGGGGAAGGGGAAGTGGGCGGAGCAGGCTGTCGGTCTGCAGGTGTCAGGGAAATGCGGGATTACGCTTCTGATTGGCGTTTAATGGCCGGTGCCGCGCAGCAATCTCGGCTAATCTCACTTTTAGTGTTCGCACTTGCTTGAGTTTACATTGCAGAGGAACAGCAGAAAGGCATCATGGCACACTCACAAACCAGCATGTAAAACAACTTGTCTCACCACTAAGGACAATGACAGAGGTTTGGATACACGTCTTCTGCAAATCTCCTCTGTCACCAGGCCCCCGCCTCCTCCCCTGCTGTTGAACACGGGCCCTGCCCCCTCCTCCCCTGCCGGGTCCGGCCTCCTCCACCGCCGCTGCTGGCTCTCAATGACTCAGCAGCGGCTCTGGAGAGGAACGCGCTGCTGCACAGATTACGGTCAGTGATCTGAACAGCAGCGCATTCTTCTTCAGAGCCGCCAGTGACAGCCACCAGCAGAGGATGCCACAGCGACCCAGGCGGTCCGCTCGGCATCTGGCAGGGCCCCCCTGTGCCCCGGGCCCCATAGCGGCCGCCTGGGTCGCTATGGCGATTGTTACGCCACCGATCCCAATGCATCCAAATGAGTCCGAATCCGAATTTCAGTTTCCAAATCTCAGATCCCGTCCGAATTTCGTTCGAAAACGAAACGGAATGGGACATGTGACTTTTCCGGCCAATCAGATGTGCTGTTTGGTGTACTGCATCTGAATGGGTCTCATCACAAATTTTTGTTACGGCGACATGGGAGCCATATACAGTATATACATATAATACTAAAGCCGAGGGTCCCAGACGCTAATGGCATTCGGGATCCGATCTTCCGAAATTGGGTTAGGGAGGCTCCTGAATGCCATTCGGGTCTGGGAGCCTCAGCTTTAGTAGTATATGTATATGGCTCCCAGACCCCAATGGCATTCAGGAGCCTCCCTAACCCAATTTCGGAAGATCGGATCCCAATGCCAATCGGGTCTGGGAGCCTCGGCTTTAGTATTAATATCTGTAGACGGTTTTCTGTCGTATCCGCAACGAATATTCGTAAACTCATCCGAAACTAACGAAAATTCAGATTTGCGTCCGAATCCGAAACCCGAACCGAATTGAATTTGGGATCCGAATTCCGAAATAACGAAACATCCGAACCAAATGTTTCCGCAGCTCACATGCCTGGCCCGCACTCAGGAGCCCCTGCAATGTCCTCTCCTCGGCAGGTCGTCGTAGGGACTCGGTACGTGGAAGGTTCAGAGGGATGCGGATGCTGTCAGGTGACCGCGTCTTCTCTCCAGCTCGTGACTTCCACACCCAGATGGTGCTGGGCTCGGTCAGGGATTGGCGCGCCCGGAGCGTTTTCTGGCACATAGCGGGAATTGCCGGGGAAGGATCAAAGCCTCTTGATTTTGGCTGAAAGTTGAGACGTACAAAGCGCCCCCGAGGTCCGAACTGCCGAGGAAACTGCAAACACGGGGAGCTCAGATGTGGTGACAGGTTTGAACTCCGGCGGGATAAGCAAATATTGTCGAAATATAAGAGCCGGGTGTATTCCTCCTTGAATCTCCGTGTGGACTAAAAATCAAGAATACCGTGTTTCCCCGAAAGTAAGACCTACCCCGAAAATAAGACCTAGTTCGGTGGTAGGTCTTATATTACAGAGATCCGCTAGGTCTTACTTTCGGGGTATAATAGAATTTTACATGTCACGGCCGCAGCTCCCTCCCTCCC